ATCTTTTAAAAAGTACACACTTTATGTAAAAAATACTTTATTGTTTAAAAAGAAGAAATTATAAAAGCAGCAAGACATAAAGAGATATTGCCATAGATGGAACCACAATTAGAAACTGATAAATAAATTGTCACAAGAAACTTGAAACTTCCCCAAACTGGGGATTAACATCTCTAAAGTATGAAAAGGAAAAAAACCCACAAAGCTAAAATTCCAAACATTGGAAAATTATCCTTCAAAATGAAAGACTGGGAGTTGTGCTTCTATTATGAAGGAGTAGGCTCCTACCAAAGCGAACTCCCCCACAGTATGACAAAACAAAAAACAATCCTTATAAGTTATAATCTTTGAGGAAAAAAATACCAGACATGTGAAAAAAGAAAGTAGATTTGGAGGGGAGTCAAAATTTGGGGGAAGGAACCAACAGGAAATAAATAGCTTTGCCCCAGTCAGAGATAGGCCAGCCCGAGCTGAAGTGCGCAGCAGGGCTGCTAAAGCTCTGATAGAAACCCTTCCAACTCTCGGGACTGAGGAACCAGGAATGAAGTCCAGGGCAACTAGGAACACCGAGACATGAGGAGAGAATTCTGGAAGGCAAGAGCCAGAGAAGAGGACCGCCAGCTTCTGAGTATAAACCCATGTCTCTGCCTGCCCTGAGAAGGATGCGTGTGCAGAGCACACCACAAGCACTGCGGGTGAAGACGAGAGAGTGCAATGAGACTTGAGCTCTCGCCCACCACAGGCAAGGACTTGTTTGCAATTTGGCTTGAACAAAATTATTTGCCTGCTTAAAAAAAACACAAAACACTTTTTTGAGTAATAAAACTTACTTCAGAGACTCTACAACATAACATTAACAACATTTAGGATTCAATCCAAAACTACCCAACATGTGAAAAAACAGGAAAATGGGACCTGTTGTGAAGGTAACAACACACAGAAAAGGGGAAAAGTGAAGGACAAAACACAGAGGCCAATGCTGTGATGACCAAGGTGATAGAAATAGCAGACAGGAACTTTAAAGCAGCTTCTATAACTATGCTCAAGGAGGCAAAGGAAAATATAGTCATACTGAATAAAAATATGGGAAACCTGAGTAGTGATACAGAAAATGTTTATTCTGGGAGGCCAAGGAGGTAGGATTGTTTGAGTTCAGGAGTTTGAGACCAGCCTGAGCAGAAGCCAGACCCTGTCTCTACTAAAAATAGAAAGAAATTAGCTGTACAACTAAAAGTATATAGAAAATAATTAGCTGGGCATGATGGCACACGCCTGTAGTCATAGCTACCCAGGAGGCTCACTGAGGCAGGAGGCTCACTTGAGCCCAGGAGTTTGAGTTGCTGTGAGGTAGGCTGACGCCACAGCACTCTAGCCTGGGCAACAGAGTGAGATTCTGTCACCCACCCAAAAAGAAATAGAAAATGTTTATTAAAAAGAGTAAATGAAAATTCAAAAATGAAAAAACACACTACAATATCTCGAATTTGAAATTTAACGGGATGAGCTTAATAGCAGGAAACAGAAGAGTGAAGGAGCCAGTGGATGCATTAGATCAATAAAAGTTACCCAATGAAAAGGAAAGAGAAAAAATAGAAAAAACTGGGAGTAAAAAGAGTCAGGAAACTGTGAGACAAAAAGGGCCTACATACATGTAATGGGAATCCCAAAGGAAGAGGAAAGAGAGAATGGGACATAAAAGTGCCTGAATAAATAATGTCCAAAACATCCCAAACTTGGTAAAAGACATAAAAGGGATCAAAGATTTAGAGCAATTTTTCATAGAAATAATATCCAGTTGTCCAATAAATTCAATAAAGGAATTCTCAACCTCCTGAGTAACTAGGTCAATTTAAGTTCAAACCATTAGCAAAACACTATTGCAGACTCATCACACTGGAAGATTATACATGTCTGAAGAAGTCAAGTGCTGGTGAAGAAGTGGAACGGTGAAGAAATACAAGTTGCTCCTGCTGTTATCTGATAAGTTGAGATATTCATGTACAATGGATATGCTACTCATCAGACCCGGTGTCTGGTCCCCTTGGCAGGCAGGCTGTCTTCAGGAAAGGAAGAAAATGGTGCTTCTTTGCGGGCAATTGCTGTGCAACACCAGTGGTCAGCAGCTTCTCCTTGGTGCTCTGGAGACAGATGCGCACACAGACTGTCAGAGCAAAGAAGATATTTATTTTCTGAGTCCTGGGTGAGGGGGCTGGAGGCCAGGGGTGTAAGTAGAGGCTGTGCAGGGAGTGGAGCTGGAATGTGGAACAGGGTGGTGAAGAAATATGAGCCCGAGGGCACTCAGGTGGAGTGAGACTGGGAGGTGCTCACAGTGACATCCCTAATTGAGCCCTGTATCCTGAGGAGGAGAAGGAGGAAGAGGAGGAGGAGAGGGAGATCGCATCCTATATACCTGGCTCTTCCCAAATGGGTAGTACTAGGGCCGGCAGGCAACCCAGAGCTGAGGGGGAGGGGAGGTGGAGGTTGTGGGGGAGGAAGCCTGGGCTCCATGGATGTGGTAGGGCTAGGTCACCTGGAGTAGATCAGGGCAAGGTCATAGGTGGGAGGAAGCTGATTCTCAAAGGGTTTCCTCACCTCAGCATGGCTAGTGCTCAAGGTCAGGAGACACAGAGTGAAGATGTGAAGGGGAAGGGTCAGAGAGCAGCGTATGCCAAGATCAAAGCTCAAGCTCCACTCCAACTACTCAAGCCTTCCCAGGACCCAGGTAATCTGCTGCCCACTCCTGACATTCATTCTCGCTGAGAAAGGAGATGTGCTTCCAGCAAGGTGGAGCTTCAGGGTATTTAGGTCCAAATGAACTTACAAGTTCCTTGTGGTGTTCAACTGCTGCCCTGGCCAAGGCTGAAAACCATGGACTCTGCAGCTTGGTGAAATATCCATTCCCTAGCCAACAGGCCTTGCTTCATCCGGCACTGAAATCCTGCCACGTCACTGACTCGCAGGCTGTGCTAAGCAGTGCGGTTTTCTCTGCTGTTGTCTCAGCTCCAGGAAATGGCACCTGAACAGTTAGGCTGCTTCTGAGCGCCTGGGGAACCAGGGCGAAGGGGAGCATCAAGGTATAGAAGGTCTCCTGTCCCGGCAGGGAGAGGACATGACCTCTCCAAGTTGCATCGGTGGTCATGCCCCCATTGCAGTGCTTGGATGGCCGCTCTGTGCAGCACGAATAGCAGGGCGTCCTCTTGGAGCTCTGATGTGTTGCTCCCTCCAGTCCTCATCCTTCTGTTGTCTCCTTGAGCAGAATGATAGCCTGTTACTTGGACAGCAAGGATCTTAGGTTCCAGAGTACACCTCATATGAGATCCCCTCCAAGCGTGTCTTCATCCCTTTATTTGAACATCCTGAGAGATTAGAGTCCTCAAGAAGCAGCTATTAATTTTTGGATCCCTAAAGAGTAGAATCAACTTGGTTTCTATTTAGTACATTTGGATATGGAGTCACTTATAGCCACTGGAAAAGATGATCGAATTCATTGCCTACATTCATTAGAGGTTTCGTCCAGAATCATTGGATTGACCACAGTCTCTCTCAGAATTCCAGGGATAGGAGATAGGACAGAGGATGAAGTCACGCAGGCCTTCCTGCACCGCTACAGGGTGCAGAAGCCTTTGCTGGGGGCCCAGGGACAGAAAGCAGCTTCCTCTGAGCTGCCAGCAGCGCTCTTCACCCCACCCACTCCTCCATTCCATTCAGTAGTAAGAGCCTATTGTCAAAAGGGAATACAAAAATTTTAACAACAGCCAGGTATATAAAAAATACAAATAGTTACCTTCAATGGAGTGACAATAACAAAGAAGATGCCATGACACAAGAAAGGGTAGCACAGAAGACTAGGGAGTGATATCTTTACAACCCAGAATTCCATACCCAGACAAAATATCTTCCAAAAATTACATTGAAATAATATTTCATGTTAAAAAAAAACTAAGAAAGTTGAATTCCAGTAGACTTGCACTATAAAAAATACTAAGATAAGTTCTTCAAGCTAAAAGAAAATTATTTCTGATAAATATCTAGAATATGATGAAAGAATCACAACTATGTATATAATTTTTAAACAATAGTCACTGTTTAAATCAAAGTAGTTATAATGTCATGGGATATTGGTAACATTTGTAGAGATCAAATATAGAACAATAATAACAGACAAGCGGGGAGTGGTTTATGTGTCTGCAGAGTTGGAAGCTTATTTCACCTAGTGGCCTCCAGGTTTACCCATGTTGTCACAAATGGCAGGATTTTCCTCTTTTTTTTAATGGCTAAATAATGCCATTGTCTTTAGAATGAAGAAATAACCAGAGATATATTCACACAAGGAATGCAATCGTGCCTCAGCACATGCAGGGGCGTGGATGCTCGGGTCCCAAAGTTGGCCCTGCAGAACCGTGGGTGCAAAAAGTTGGTCCCCCATACTCGGGATGCCACATTCCCAATATCCCTATGGACACCGCATTTCACGTCCGCAGCTGGCTGAATGTGTGGGTGCGGACCGGCGGACACACACGGCGACTGTGCTATCCTAACGGCAAAAACAACACCAAAACCAAAAATCCACTGTTTATCCAGATAAATGAGAAAATCCGCACTGATAGAAGCCAGGTGCGCAAGTACATATAATGTCTGCTTCCGCGTGCAGGTGGACAGAAGCTGGCGACACAGACAGAGCGGTGTGGCACAGAGGGGCCGTGTCCCCAGAGCGCTGTGTAGACTGGAAACGGTGCCACAAACCCGTTTGCGGGGCTGGGAAGAATCTGTATGTTGAGCCGGACGGTGGAAACAAGAGTGTGTACCTATGTAAAAATTCAGCTAATTATACTCTAGATTTGCATAGAGTAACTCATAGATTTGCATTCCATTTAAGTCTGGCTTCTTTTTTTTATGCATCAAAAAAAAAATGTAGAAAAAGCCTTAGATAAAGCATGTCCAAAAAAGATTAAGATGTCATGTTGGTCTACAAACTTCTGCAAAGGCATTAAATGGTGAAATCAATTTTTATGTTGTCTTGTTTAATAAATTTTCACCTACAATTAAATGCTGTGCCATTTTCTAATAATCATAATGAGGTAGAGTCTTTAAATAAAAAAGCAAAGCTGTGATCATGACTGCACTGTGCATCCATGTCTATGCTGATGGGGAAGTTCAGGAGACCAGAAACTCAAGTGTTGAGAAGGTAGGTTTTGGGTAACGGGGGGATAAGACCCTGAGTTCCTTCCCTGCGCAGGCCTGGGGGTGGAGAGGGAGGAGAAGGGTGGCGGGAAGGGATGGGTGATGTAGCTGGGGCTGGGGCAGGACCAATAGGGAGAGGGGAGTCGCTAGATGGGCGGGGGGCAGGCAGGAAACAAGGGGCAGGCAGTGGGGCGTGAATGGACAGTTTCCAGAAGGAAGCTGGCAGTGATGTCCCACGTCTGTCCCTCATGGCTCGGTGTCCACAGCTCAGTTCTGTCTGGAGAAGGAGGGGTGAGTCGGGCCTCCCAGCCCTGATCCCCTGCGGGCTCCGCACCTGCACAGCCAACACGGGTCTCAGATCAGATTCAGCCACTTTAATCCTGGCTCCAGGTGGGTCAGGACAGCTCAGCCCCACCTGAGCCTCAGGGGCTTATTCCTGGGCTTCCCTGGAGGGACGCGGATCCACCAGCCTGGTGTAGTAGATCCAGGTGAGGCCGTAGGTGAGGAGGAAGCCAGCCCCCATGAGGGCCCCCCTGATCAGGGTGATGACCAGGGCCCAGGAGCCCTCCTGCTCCTCAGTCACACATCTGCAGCCAGAGGGCCTTCCTGGAGAACAGGAGACGGGATGGAGGTCTGTCCCGAGGCCTCAGCCCTCCCACAGCCCAGACGCCTGGCCAGGCGCCCACCCCGGCACCTGTGCCGCAACTCACTCTGCACAGAGAGGCTCAGGGAAAGGTGCTGGGAGCCCAGTGGGTGCTGAGCCCCGCAGGTGACTTCCCCTCCGTCTGCAGCCCCGACGTAGGGCAGCTCCAGGACCCCGGACGCCGAGGCCTGGGGGGCATCCAGGGTTTTTCCCTCCCGGGACCAGCTCAGCCTGGCAGGGGGGTTGCTGTCAGCCGCACAGAAGAGGCGCAGGGACTGGCCCTCCAGGACAGGCAATGACGTGCCGTTGCTCAGGATCCTTGGGACTGTGCAAGAGACACACGGCAGGGTGAGCGAAGCTGCGGGTCTGTCTCTCCCCGACTGCTCCCTGAGCCGCAGGTGGACAGCAGACAAGACCAGGCGGCGAGCACTGGGAATGGGTGCCGCCGATGGAGGGGCGATGACACCGCCAGTCAGGTCAGGCCACCAGAAGGAAGGGGCTGGGCGGGGCGGGAAGGATGAGCAGGGGTTCTCCCGCTCAGGGGAGGTGGTGGGCAGCTCAGGTGCGCGGTGCGGAGAAGAGACCAGCCGGCAGGCCAGGGGAAGCGCCCGCCCTCGGCAGGGGGCCAGGAGCTGCACAGACGCCAGATGCGAACCCCAGGGCCAGGCGGGGCTGCGGCTGTGTCCTGCGGTGCTGAAAGGCAGAAGGGGCTGTGAGTGGGGAAACAGACTCAGCGCTGGGTGTAGAGAGACCCTGCTTGAAGCCAGGTGGAGGCCTGGGCTGGGGCCTGGGCGGGAGGCAGGAGGCTGGGGAGGGGTTGGGCCACGGGCCAGGGTGGAGGACAGGACTTGACTGGGTGTGGATAAGGGGAAGGGGAGGAAGGAAGTGACTCGGCGGTCTCAGCTGACCCATGGGGAGCAGGTGACGAAGGGAATTTTTCGGGCTGTGTCCGGAAAACCCCTGGGACACGTGGGGGCCGGGGAAGGGCCAATCGAGAGGCAGCTGCGGGAGGGGAGGAGGCTGAATGTGTAGACCTGTGGCCCAGGAAAAGGGACATGCAGCCGTGGGAGGCTCCAGGACAAGGGCAGGGCAGGGAGAGGGCGACCCAGGAAAGTGGAAAGAGAGAGAAAGGGGGGCGAGGCGTAGCCATGGGGTGGGGACATGGAAAGGTCCTGGGAAGGGTGATCAGACCAGAGAGGAAGGAGGGCGAGTGTCAGAGGAGGTGGGGACTCACAGAAATTCAAGAGGAGGGAGCAGTGCCCAGAATTGCCAACATCAGAGACAGGAAGTAGAACGGAGGCCGGGCGCGGGGGCTCACGCCTGTGATCCCAGCACTCTGGGAGGCCGAGGCAGGAGGATCAGGAGTTTGAAACCAGCCTGAGCAAGAGCGAGACCCTGTCTCTACTATAAATACAAAGAAATTAATTGGCCAACTAAAAATATATAGAAAAAAATTAGCCGGGCATGGTGGCGCATGCCTGTAGTCCCAGCTACTCGGGAGGCTGAGGATTGCTTGAGCCCAGGAGTTTGAGGTTGCTGTGAGCTAGGCTGATGCCACAGCACTCACTCTAGCCCAGGCAACAAAGTGAGACTCTGTCTTAAAAAAAAAAAAAAAAGAAAGAAAGAAAGAAAAGAAAAGAAGAGAAAGAAAAAGTAGAACAGTGGCTGCAGGGGCTGGTGGAAGAAGAAATGGGAGTTGCTGTTTAATGGGAGCAGAGTTTCAGTTCTGCAAGATAAAAAAGGAGCTCTGCAGACTGATTGCACAACAGTGTGGATGTACTTAACACTGCTGAATTGTACTCTTCAAAATGGTTAAAACAACAAATTTTATGCTGTGTGCATTGTATCACAATAAAACACAAATTTGAAGAGAAGAGAAAAGAAAAGGGAGAGTCAGAAGCAATATTGGGTCTGCCGGTGCCAGACCTCGGCGAGGGGGAGCGGGGCGGGCCGGGGAGCGGGGTCTCCGCCTGGCTCCAAGCCCGCGCCTGCAGGGTGCTCCCAGCACAGCCGGACAGGAGGGCTTCCCCACCTGTGCAATTTCTGAAGATGCCGACGGTGAGGTTCCGGGGGGCATCTGGGGGAGAAAGATATGGCCCAGCTTCAGGTGTGGCGTGGACCTGCGTGGGCCCCGCCAGTGCCCAAGGAGGGGCCACGGACACCACCGTGGTGGGGACAGCTGTCCTCGGCCCCTCCCACCTAAACCGCCAAGCTCAGATCCATGCCGAGGTTCATAGGTTTCCTTCTCCTCCCTCTCTCCTCCACACAAGCACACGTACACACACATACACACACACGCGCATGCACATGTACACACACATACACACACACGCACATGCACATGTACACACACAACGCATACACAGGGGCACACATGCACACACACGCGCACACACGCACGCACAGGCACACACGCACACACAGGTGCACACACAGGCACATACAGGAACACACGCACACACAGGTGCACACACAGGCACATACAGGAACACACATGCACACACAGGCATACAGGTGCACACACAGGCACACACGCACACACAGGCACACACGCATAAACAGGTGCACACACATGCACACACGGCACACACAGGCACACACAGGCGCACACACATGCACACACATGCACACACAGGAACACACAGGCACACACATGCACACACAGGCACACACCCATCACACACATGCACACACACATGCACACACAGGCACACACCCATGCACACACATGCACACACACACACATGCACACACATCGGGGCTGGCCGTCCCTCCCCCAACTCACAGGAGACGTTGAGCTGGACAGTTCTCTCTGTGGTCACACGCGTTCCCTGGAGTTTCACCTGACAGGTGAGGTTGGTGCCGTGGTCCTGGGGCCTGGGGGTGAGGGTGACTGCCGAGGAGTGGAGGCTGTCGGGGTCCAGGGCGTGGAGGGCCGCCCCCGACCAGGAGAAGCTGAGAGGCCGGCCCCCCTCGCAGGACCCTGGCAGGCCGCAGCTCAGCTCCGTGGGGCGGCCGGACTGCAGAGGCTCCGGGCCGTGGATGTGGGGTCTCTCCGTCAGGGCTGGGGGCACAGGGAGAGGCCAGGCCCCGCAGCGTGACCTGCCAGGGACCAGGGCCTCGGCCCTGAGCCTGCCCCGAGTCCTGCAGCTCTTGACCACTCCTGCCCCAAGCCCCGGAGCAGGGCACGTCCCGGCGTCCCGTCCCTGCTCTAATGCGGGGACCCCACAGCGCAGGGTCCTCTCCCGGGCCCCTGCCGTACCTGTCACCAGCAGATTCAGCTTACTGCTTTCGTAACTGTATTTCACACGATCGCCACTCTCCACTTGGAAGAAGTAGGTCCCTGTGTCCTCTCTCTTGGCGTCTCTGATGCTCAGGGAGCAGTCTCTGCTCCTGACGTCCCCAAGGACGAGGAATCGGCCCTTGGCGCGTGTCTTCACGTCTCTGCGTGGGTTGTTTGTGGCCACAAGGTCATCGTAGTACACGCTGTCCCCTTCGCGGAACCAGTAGAGGTAGAGCGGGTCAGAGGGCGGCCGCGAACCCCGGGGCGGGTAGGAGAAGGAGCAGGGCACGAGGACGCACAGGCCCTCTTGTACCGTCGCCTGCAGCTGGGCCCGTGTGTCCTGCAGGGACCCTGGGGAGACACAGGCTGGGCTCAGCTGCAGCGTCCCCGGGCCGCGTGCCCGGCCGCCTCCCTGGCCCACTCACCCCCCCACAGCAGGGCCAGCAGCAGCGGGGCCAGCATGTCTGCATGGCGGCTGGGCGGCCGGGCCCCACCAGGGAAGGAAACGGCCAACGTGGGGTGGGGCCGGGACGGCCATACAGGAAGCTGGTGTGTGAGCAGGGCTGTGGCCTCACCAGAGGGAACTTGGTGCCCCTGGGGGTGAGGCGGGGCTGGGAACCCGCCTGTGCCCCGGCCAGGGGCTGCGGGTCCAGACCTATAAGCCTGGATTCACAAGGTGAGGAGTCGCCAGTCCCATGGCTGCAGTGCGCCCCTTGTGCACCCTTGCCCACACAGGGAAGAGAACCACCTGGCCCGCTCGGCGGGCAGAGCTTCCGGACTCCCAGGGAGCCCAAAGAGCAAATCCATCAGGGTATGACGGGAGCTGCAACCAGGGAAGCCCAGGCTGGGGCCAGGTTCAGAGGGACAAGTGAGTCAGGTGGGCGTGGCCACGTCCTGACAGTCAGGAGAGAGGTGGCCCCCACCAGTGAGCACGGGGTCTCCTGATCCCTTAGATTTGGGCCCTGATGCCATCATTTTTCTCGTCCTGGCACGCTCAGACTCCAGCTCGAGTGCCGGCGGCCGGCCCCGCCCCCAGAGCTGGGCACGGGAACCAGGAGGCTGAGCACACGGAACGTCCAGATTGGAGCCCAGACCTCCCCTGCCGGCTGGAAAACTTTACAAAATCACTTAATCTCTCTGTGCCTCGGTTTGCTCATCTGAAAACAGTGGTGACAGTGGCATTGCTGCGTGAGGACTAACTGGGCCCTGTGTGGAATGCTCAGCACGGGGCCTGGTCCCGGCGTCTGCTCCGTCAGCCGCTGGTTCCTGGGCACCTGCTGTGCGCTGGGGACGCAGCCAGGCGCGAGCTCTTCGGACGGGAAAGCGAGCAGAGGCCCTAGTGGGGAGCCAAGCATTTAATATAAAACTAGAGCACACACTCTCCTAGAAAATGACATATCCCAAGCAAAAAAAGAAAACAGAAACCCAGGAGAGGAATCGCTGACGACTGCTAAAATTTTTAAGAACATGGCTGGGGAAGGCCACACGCAGAAGGTGACATTCGAGCAAAGACATAAAAGAAGCGAGGGGAGGAGTCTGCGTGGGCCCCTGCGGGCCCAGTCCACGGAGGGCACACGCTGTGTGCTCTGAGGACAGCAGGTCACGGCACACACGCGGTGTGCTCTGAGAGCAGCAGGTGACGGCACGCAGGGTGACCCGTGGGAGCAGGGCACACACGTGGTGTGCTCTGAGGACAGCACGTGACGGCAGGCAGGGTGACCCGTGGGAGCAGGGCACACAGGCGGTGTGCTCTGAGGACAGCAGGTGACGGCATGCAGGGTGACCCGTGGGAGCAGGGCACACACGTGGTGTGCTCTGAGGACAGCACGTGACGGCAGGCAGGGTGACCCGTGGGAGCACGGCACACACTCGGTGTGCTCTGAGGACAGCACGTGACGGCAGGCAGGGTGACCCGTGGGAGCACGGCATACACGCGGTGTGCTCTGAGAGCAGCAGGTGATGGCACGCAGGGTGACCCGTGGGAGCACGGCACACACGCGTGTGCTCTGAGGACAGCCGGTGACAACACACAGGGTGACCTGTGGGAGCACGGCACACACGCGGTGTGGTCTGGAGCAGCAGGTGACGGCATGCAGGGTGACCCGTGGGAGCAGGGCACACACGTGGTGTGCTCTGAGGACAGCACGTGACGGCACGCAGGGTGACCCGTGGGAGCAGGGCACACAGGCGGTGTGCTCTAAGAGCAGCAGGTCACGGCACACACGCGGTGTGCTCTGAGAGCAGCTGGTGACAGCATGCAGGGTGACCCGTGGGAGCACGTCACACGCGGTGTGCTCTGAGAGCAGCTGGTGACAGCATGCAGGGTGACCCGTGGGAGCAGGGCTGGACGGTCGTCCTGGGAGGTGTCCTGGGTCAGGTCAGAAGAGATTTGGAGGCTCTTGTAAGAACTTGACTTTTGCTGAGTGTATTACCGAGTTTCCCGGAAAATAAGCCAGGGTCTTGTATTTATTTTTCCTCAGGAAACACCCTAGGCCTTGTTTTCAAGGGACGTGTTATTTTTTTAAGTGTGGTACAACCATCTCCATTTATTCAAATATAGTGAAGTCGCCTTCGTCCAGAACACCATCCTCACTCTCCAAACCCGAATCCCATCCTGAATGTCTTGCGACTCTGTTTCCTTGAGAACCATAAGCCCCGATCTCTCCTGTGGAGCCACAGAGCTGTCCCGGGCGGATGAGGAACACGGTAGTCAGGGTTCTCCAGAGGAGCAGACCCCGCGGTCTGTGTGTGTGTGTTTCGTTTATTTATTGTAAGAAATTGGCTTACAGGGTGACAGAGGCTGACATGGCCAAGCTGTGCGGTGGGCAAGCTGGAGACCTGGGAGAGCCGACGGTGTTCGCAGTCAGACTACCGTGTGTCTCTGAAAATAAGCCCTACCCATGAACTAAGCCCCAGCAGGATGTCTGAGCAAGTGCGCCATAGAGGCCCCACCCCGAAAATGAGCCCTGGTGACGGCGTGGCCACGCGGGGCGTCTGCACAGCCCATGCGTGTCGGCGCGGAGCGGGAAAGACGCCGAGCAGCCCTTCTCATCCCCTGAAAATAAGCCCTAGCGTGTCTCCTTGAGGAAAAATAAATGTAAAACCGCGTCTTACGTTGGGGACGCATGGCGCACAGCAGAGGCAGGGGGTGCGGGCTTTGTGGGTGCAGTGTCTTCCTGCACACCCCAGGCTCTGCCCAGCGGAAGGAGGTTCGAGCTGGGCCACCGAGCCCGTCCCCACTGCCCCTCGGCCGGTGCCCCAGTCAGCAGCAGGGCGGGCAGAAGCTTCTCCGGGCTGGAGGGCGTGCCCTGCGACCTCGGACCCACGCTCGGACTCGCTGCGAGGAGCAGGGACAGAGATGGGCGAGCAGGAAGGAAGCTGCGTCCGAAGCCGCCACATGTAGACGTAGGTACCCTGATTCGGCAGAAAAGGAAGTTTCCCCATGATGTCGCTCAGGGGAAAAGGGCCTGCTCTGACGGAAGCTGGGCTGGCCGACCTCGGGCCGCAGGGTCAGGGACTGCGGGAAGAGTCCACCCCAGCCTGGGTCTGCAGCTGCCCCCCAGTGTCCGCACCGCGGAAACAGCAGCGCAGCGCACGCTTCCGGGCTCAGAGCTACGGCCGCGGCCCTGCCTCCGACCCATGAACCGAGTAGCTTGCCCTCCTCACTGCTGCCTGACATTTCTAGGTGTCCCACACTTAGGGAGATCCAGGAGTCCCTCATGGCTCTGTCCTCCTGCGCCGTTGTGTTGTTGTTTGTGTGTTTGTTTGCTGACTGCCCACGACCCGGGCGACAGCCCCTCTTGCTGGGCCTGGGGGGCCGCGGTCGGCCCCAGTGAGCAGTCCATGCAGTTCCTCCCCGGCAGCACTGCGGCCGACTCCATGCACAGGCCCGCGTTGCTCCAACTCCCTCTGAAGAATCCGAATTCCAGGACTTTGGCTACACCTTCAGAAGAAATAGCTGCTGTCTTCCCCTGGCATCCCTGAACGGGAGACAAGCCTGGAGCTGCCAAGGCCCACAGACCTGGTCAGTGGCGCCTGAGAGCAAGGCCAGCAGAGGAGGGCAGGGCTACAGGGTTAACAGAGAAAAGGGATCTTGGTGGCACCAACCAACCTGTGCCTGCCGCCTGCGTGCTTCAGAGCTTTTCAGCTAAATGGGCCAACGCTTGGCTCTTTCTTTCCCGTTAGTCCAGTTTGAGCTGGGTGGATCACACTGGATTGATTGAAGTCTGTTATTATGGCAAAAATATGAAAAGTATAAATATCCAAAGTTGGTGTAATACTTAAATAGGTTAAGAGTCATTCATACAATGAACTAGTATATATTTATTAAAGGAAATTTAAATATAAAGCTTGCTGGCATGAGAAAATATTTATGATTTAAACTTTAGCAAATATTCAGGAGACAAAACAGTCTATCCAGTCCTTTGTTACTATGTAAAAATTAGGAAATTGACTGGGTGGACATTCAGGACTCTCCCCAGGGAGCCCTGCCTGCCACGCCTCTCCAGGAGCACCGTGCCCCAGCCCCGGCCACCCGCCTCCAGCCCCGAAGCTGCCCCGCGCCTTCCCATCAAGCCTGCCTTCAACGCTGGAGTTCGCAGCCCTGCCACGCGGCCCGGAAGGGCGCCCACACGTGCCTGCTCTCAAGCCCCGGGGCTGCCCATCCATATAAAATCAAAACGATCAAGCCAGTTATAGAAATAAAAGAAGACCAGCCAGCAAGAACAAGCGAGGCCTACGCGTTCAGGGTGTCGGCCGCCGTGGCCTGTGTTTGGCAGGGACCCAGAGGCAGCGGAGGGGCAGGACCCTTCGCAGTGGAAAATAAGCCAAGTGTGCCCTGGCTGGGGCGTCGGCCTGGGGAAGCCGAGACGGGCCGATTAGGAGTGAGTGATCCTGCGCGATTGGGCTCGGGGAGGCACTGGCTCTCTCTGACTGGTCCTAAGTTGGACGCGGGGACAGAAATGAGGGAAGCTGCCCGTCATTAATCGCGTCCTGGCCATTTGGGGCCAACTGTTACAGTGTTATTGGTTACTTCCTAGGCTGCCAGAGATAACGGCCTGACTTCCTGCAAGGCCAACGCATAGACAGTATGCTGGCCGCCCGGGCTGGCCACCAGACAATGGGCTGGTTTCCGCGGGTCACCACAGGCTGTGGGTCAGAGTTCTGTGTTTGCATGCGGTCTGGCCGTGGTCCGTGCTCGTCAGTCTCTCGCAGAGCAGCGGGCCATCGTCCGCATTCACAAAGAGCTACCAACGTCGCAGGGAGATCACCTGCACACTTGTTTTTCCAAACAAATTGATCACCTTTTTTGGGGGGTCTAAACAGAGAGCCGGGAACTAGGCAAAAGTTGAGCTGAAGAGCAGACTAAAATGTTTTGGCATAATAAAATAATGTGAATTCTAAGACAGCGGCTGGGAGATAAAAGACTGGGAGGCCATGGTCTCGGTGGCAATGGGGTGGTGGGGTAGGAGCTGGTGTTCTCTTGGCGGAGATGGGGCCCCAGTGGGAGGGGACGGAAGACATA